TAAATGCAATAAGTAACCCGGGTGTGTCGTTCCCCTTCATGAGTGTTTATTTTAGTGGGTGGTGTTTAGACTCCCCTTCAAAAAAAATTAGGTGGGGGTCATCAACCATTTAGGAATCTCCTTAACGTAGTTGTACCCTGCTAGTTGGGACTATTTTAAAGTTTTTAAATGTTGGTGCGAGTATAAGAATGGTGTACCCACTTTGATGTTCTTCTTTCATCTCTTCAACATTCACTGAACTTCAACCAAGTTAGATCGGGGTCAAGGGTTACTCTCGCTTAGGTAGGGGCAAGAAGATGTTTGAAGTATACATAATTGATTTCAATAACTTAATGACATGTATTATCTAGAAACCCCTTCCCCTTTAGTTGAACCTTTTATTAGAGCAACTGTGAGATTTAAGTCGAGTCCCCTTCAAGTTACACAGAAAGATTCCTAAAGTTCTTGTGACAAAATCCCTTTCTGGTGGGAACGGGGTCGTACGCATATCATCTTGGTGAACTATCTCAAGAAGAGAAGTATTTTAAGACTAAGTCCACCACCTTCTTGGAATGAATTGGATTTGTTGGAGGTGCGGGACTTTATAGTGTTGATCCTTCAAAACGGAAAAGGTAGTATATTGAAATTCATTTGTTAGTTAAAGAAACTACTAAAGAGGAAAGGCGAAACATCTTTAGTAAGAGCATATATTTTTTGAATCTTGTGGATGTTTGGTATTTTGTTTGCGAGGGTATCTACTAAATCCCATCATCCCTTACTTTACCTTGTATATAAGATGAGTTCCTTTAAGACTATGATTCATTTGAGGAAGACATTGAGGAGTAAGCATTCACCATCCATTATTGCTACCATGTGATCTTTAGGGGAGGCTTCCCTTTGTGACGGACCTCGAGATGTGAACCCTTTGATGGTTCTTGTGTCGAAGAAAACTAGACTTAAAAATTCTCCACCTTCTAGAGATGAAGTAGAGCGAGAGCCCCATAGTCATCTTGGTGGTGAGCTTATTCATAGGTGTACATCTTGCACGATTGGTGAAGGTTCTCAATAGAAGGGGATAAATTGCAATCCTTCCTTTGGCGAACCTACCTCCAAGAGACCTCGAACTCGATCGGGTTGGATCTACAAGGAATCTCACATGTTCTATCAGTAATCAAGTATCCATTGTTTCTTGCATGTCTGGGGTCCTAGAAAAGCTATTGAGCTTCAATTTATGTCTCTGAAATATACTATGTTTATTTTGTTGGTAAGTCGAAGATGGTTTATCAAGAGGAGATGGCAGAAATGTCATGAAAATGCGTAAGAATGTCGTTTTCTTAGATTTTTGAGCTTTTAGAAAGGATGCTTTAGCGCATGAGAGTCTTAGAATGGAGAAGAGAGTCCTCCAAGAACGCCTTGACGTGGTCAGGAAAAAGTTTCATCACGAGTCTTTAGGTCATGTCCATCTTCTAGACCTCGCAGCGTACTGACGTACTAAAACCTATATGATCTAATTCTATGTTAGGCTGCCTATTTACTCGCTTATCTATGTTGGAATTAATTTATATTTTAGGAATATCTTATTGATTAAGTTTGTTAGAAGATATTTTAGTATTTTATTATACCCTAATTTTGTGTATAAATAGCTTAGTAGTAGGTAGGTCAATGTAATTCATTATTCCTTATTTTGTAGTCGTCATTCAATATATTCCTTTTATCTTTCATCTCTCATTTATGCACCAACAGTGGTATTAGAGTCTTTGGTTCGAGAAAAGGACCAGAAAAGTGGGGGCGCATTGTGAGCTCATACTTGAGGGGGGTGTTGGAATAATATAGCAAGTGTGAGTAAGTGGGGAATTTTCCAGACTCTGGGAATTTTCCAGACTCTGAAGACAATCAAGGTTCTGGAGAAAGTCCAATTTTCTAAAGCAAGAGCTTCTGAAGGGGAAAGTTTTGGTGTCTGAGGTTCTGAAGTTCAAATTCAAAGGAAACAAAGAGTCAGAAGCATCCCGAGAAGATTTGAAGAGTTTGACATGTTACAAGACATTGAAGTAGACTCCAAAGGAGAAATTATTCAGTGTGCAATATTGGTAGACTCTGAATCCATGATTACGGAAGAGGCTCTTAAGCAACAAGTCTGGTTGTAGGCCATGAAAGAAGAACTTGATGTTATAGAGAGAAACAAGACTTGGAAGCTGACAGAACTTCCAAAAGGCAAGAAAGCCATCAGCGTCAGATGGGTTTTCAAGCAGAAGCTAAAGCCATATGGATTAATTGACAAACACAAAGCAAGATTAGTAGCAAGAGGCTTTCTACAAAAGCATGGGCTGGATTACTCTGAAGTGTTTGCACTTGTAGCGAGACATGAAACAATCAGACTAGTGATTGCAATAGCTGCTAACAGAAATTAGCCTCTGATGCATTTAGATGTAAAATATGCATTTCTGAATCGTCCATTACAAGAAAAGGTATACGTGTCATAACTTCCTGGATTTAAGAAAAATAATCAGGAAGGGATGGTGTTCAAATTACACAAATCCTTGTATGGATTGAAGCAAACGCCTAGAGCTTAGAATCTGAAGATTGATTCATTTTTCAAGGGACAATGGTTTCAGAAGTGTGAGATGGAGTATAGTGTTTATGTTCAGCACACTTCAGAAGATAATATGATTCTGGTATGTTTGTATGTGGGTGACATATTGCTCACAAGAAATTCTGAATAAGAGATAGTTGAGTTCAAGAAGGTTCTGATGAATGAGTTTGAAATGACAGATCTTGGGAAAATGAGTTTCTTTCTAGGGATGGAGTTTATGTAAGAAAGGAATAGTCTTGCATCAGATGAAGTATGAACTTGAGCTTCTGAAGAGATTTGAATTAGAGAATTGCAAAGTTGCTATCACACATGCTGATACGAATCAAAAGTTGGACTCTGATTCTGATGGAGAGGATGTGGATGCTACAACCTTCAAACAGATGGTTGGTTCTCTGAGGTATTTGTGTAATATTAGACCTGATATTTGTTACGCAGTTGGGATGGTTAGCAGATTTATGAGTAAACCAAAGCTGTCTCATTACCAAGCTGCTGTCAGGATTCTGAGGTATGTGAAGAGAACTCTGAAGTATGAAGTGTTATTTCCTTCTGGAAGGAAGATCGGATCAGAACTTCTGAGTTATTCAGACTCTGATTGGTGTGGAGACAAAGTTGACAGAAGAAGTACTTCTGGATACTTATTCAAATTTCTGGGAGATTCTATTTCTTGGTGTTCCAAGAAGCAACTTGTTGTTGCGCTGTCAACCTGTGAAGCTGAATATATTGCGGGAGCTCTGACTGCATGCCAAGCTGTGTGGATTCTAAACTTGCTGCAAGATATGAAGATTGAGGTGGACAAACCTCTTAAGGTGATGATTGATAACAAGTCTGCAATCAATCTTGCCAAGAACTCAATGCTGCATGGGAGAAGCAAGCATATTAAGACCAAGTATCATTTTCTGAGGAATCAGGTTCATAGTGGAATATTAGAAGTTGTGCACTGTAGCACCCAGAAACAACTGACAGACGTTCTAACAAAGGCTATCAAGACTGATCAATTTCTTCGTTTGAGGGAAGAAATTAGTGTTGTCAGATTTGTGTAAATATAAATTAAGGGATGATGTTGAAATTAATTTATATTTTAGAAATATCTTATTGATTAAGTTTGTTAGAGAGTATTTTAGTATTTTATTATACCCTAATTTTGTGTATAAAATAGCCTAATAGTAGGTAGGTCAATGTAATTCATTATTCCTTATTTTATAGTTGTCATTCAATATATTGCTTTTGTTTTTCATCTCTTCTTTATACACTAATAATCTATTGGACCGTCTATCTTACTAGAAACTGAATAATTTATTTTCTCACGTTACGGGTCTTGGTTCAGAACATAACAATTTAATTAAAACTTTTCAACCTTAGTTAGTTGGAGTTTCTTTCATCGTCTTGTAGAGCAACACAGATACAACAAACATAAAAAAATAATAATAATAATAATAAAAAATAAAAAAAGAGTTTGAATAACACTATTCTTTCTTTTAATGGGCAAATATGTGTATTTAATAAAATAGTGAAATCTATGTATATTTTATTCAATAAAATAGTAAATAATAGAAAGAGAATATCACTAAACTATTCACAACACAACAATATATCGAGTAGGAATGCAGATTGTGGCGCAGATTGAAAAACAATGAGAATGTGTGTCTACTTTATTGTCAAGTACGAATAGCAAATATTCTCCGATATTGCTTGCAAACATTTCTAATTTTCATTAACTTTCCTATATATAAGTAACTATTATACGAGTTTGTATACAACCATAGTCACAAAATAATTTAATAATAATTTGGAGACATGGACCTTTCACTCATACAATTGGGTGGCACTGGTTATAATCAGTGGTCACATATACAGTGACTTTGCATAATTGCATGTAAGCTTCCACTATTATATATATTGTTATTATGAGTGCTTAGTAGGTCACTGACTTAGCATCATGGTTTTAATTTATGATCTTCTTGTCATGTCTTTTTCATTGTTTCTTTTCGTTTGTGCATACTCTCTCGTTTTATACTAAAACAAAATTCTATAATAGCAAAAATAGAAGAAAAAAACTATCAAATTCAATTGAGTTATCATCAAGTTTATAAAGGTTGAAAACCCTTCCACAATAGGGTTCTGAACAAGTTGTTAGCATGCTACAATATGAATACAAAGGCAACAACTTCACGTATATAATAGTATTTCATTAAACTAGTATTGATCTGTTATATACATATTTTTCAGGTGTAACCAAGAGACTACTGCTGCTGCATAATGATGACACAACACAAGCCACCACAAAATATTCAAAAATTACTGGCTTATGTCTCAGATAGCTAACTTCTATGGATGTTAAGATTAACAAGTTACACCAACTTCTGCTCTACAAAATGTACACAAAATATATAACTAAACAAAAAGTATACTTTGATAAATGCCCTGTCATCGGTCATGCTTCAACCTCTTTGTTAGTGGTATGAGTCTCATCATTTTCACCATCCCCTTCTTCCTCTTCATCAGCTAGTTTTGTTAGCTCTTTCTGAATCATAATCTTTAGAGATGCCTTTCTTGGGGTGAGATCCTTATTGAATTGCTTACCTGAACAATGGTCAAAAATTGTGTTGGTCATATAAAATTAGGCTAAACTCTCATTATTTTTGTGAATTGTACAATTTGCTTCTATCTCCAAAATTCTCACAGTTACTGATAAATAAAGACTTTGCTCTTAAAGCCATAAAAGTTACTTTGATCATAAACCAAGGAAAAACAGGTAATAATAGCAAATTATGCATACCGAGTAGCTTCAAAATGTCGGTAAATGTCGCCTGCAAAAGAGAAGAAAATGTTAAGACTTTTGAACAACACAAAACCTTAACTAGAGAGAGGAATAATTAAGATTAAAATCAAAACATCAAGAGGTAGAATCAACACAGCAGCAAAATGCTAATCTAGTTCTATAAATTCCACTAGTAGTGATGAAGGAATTAAACAACTTTCGAATATAAAACTTCTTACCGTATTGAAGTCAACTTGTTTGAAAATATCACATATTGCATTGCGTAACTGATCATCACTGGGGTTTGACTTCTCTTTGTTTTTGCCCTTTCTTTTAGTAACCTTCTCTGCTTGACAAATACAAAAGATTCATTTTAAAGATGTTAAGCTAATAGGAAAAGTTAACATGTTCATTTTAAAGACTTCAATGTGCGCCTTAAACTGATAATGATGGAAGAACATAGAGTTCACGATGCCTACCAGTATTGTCTTTGGAAGAAGACTTGGTGAAAGTTGAGGTTTTCTGTTTTTCATTTTTCTTCTTCCTTGAAAAAACCTTTGGGCTTCCCTCACTAATATCATCATCGGACTCGGAGTGTGTGGAGAATGATTTCTTAGAAGTTCTCTTTCGTGGCGTGCGAGGTTTTTTCTGAAATGTCGTTTCCTTTGCTTTGCCTTTGGCAGCGAATTCTTTCTCCCTGGAAAATATTTTATTTATTTTACTCATTTTCTTCACATCTTCAGATTCATTATCGGATTCGGAATCATTTCTATCTTCACTTTCAGATTTCTGAGGCATTTCATCCTCAGATCTGTCAGGAACACCTTTTTCATCTTCTTTCTCAGAATCACTTTCGATGTCAGTTGTAGTATTTCTCTCTTCATCTGAAGAATCTTCATTTTTCTTCCGACTCTGAAAATCCATAAAGGTTAGAAAGCTAAATTTATTGGTTTCCAAGGTTTTAAAGCACTTTACCACTTCTAGTATATATCTGAAATTACATTTCAAATTTCAGCAATTAAAAAACATGAAATCTCACCTTAGCAGAGCGTCTTGACGTTGATGTTCCAGATCTCGATGAACCTTGCTTTGTTATGTGCTTGCGCTTTTTTCCTTTAACTGGCTGATAATAAGGAAAATATAAATAGTTGCACCAGAAACACTCATCTTGTCTTAAAGCAGAGTAAAATAACACACTAGTGGGAAAAGGTTGAAAGGAAAAGGGAAGTATTATAAACCTTTTCTTGTTCTTCAAGCAACACATCCCTTCTCACATGAGGGGCAACCAAAAAGTTTATTAGCTTTGCAATAATATCTTCCTGCATATGTAGAATACTAATAGCATGAGAAATTAACACCGGGGATGTTAAATCAACACAACAAAAATGCATCAAGGACTGCATTGACAATTCCCTTGATGCACACAATGTACTCAAGCATGAAAAATTTAGACATAGTAATGATAATACAATCCCCAAATTCCAAAGTTCAATTGAAAAGAAAGCTCAGGTTCTGTGTCAATAGGGTTAAACCAACAAACCTTCCTTGTATTTGCCTTTGCAACTTGTATGTCAAGCACATCGCAGATATCCAGCAACTTCTCTTTATTACACTTGTCAAATTTTTCTTTTACTTTAATCATTTGCTTTTCCTGCAGTAACAATATTTGGTTTTAGAAGCTTTGGCATAAAAGCAAGCATTCATTTTGTTATATATGACTTGATTGCAAGTTACAAGCATACCTCATTTTCATACCACACAAAACCAGAAAACCTTGATATGTTTTTCTTAACCTCAGCTGCCTGCGAATTACACAATAAAACATTAGTTAGATAGAAGCACAATATCATCTGTTTGCCTGTTAATTTTACTATTCCAGGTAAGTGTAACCTTTTAACTGTGTAAGAATAAACTTTGCTATATCATATGTTAACAGAAAACTAGTGGTGAAAAATAACAGTTATGAAAAACTTCGATTGTTCGTGAAATAGGATATACCTTTCCTCTCCTACAAAAGAGGATAGTATGGAGAAATTTTAAAGTATCATCAACCTTCCTTCTAGATAATTTAAATGCCACTGAAAAATAAAATGCAAGAGTTATAAAGTTAGCTGTTCTGAAGAAGTAGAAACATGTATCTGCGGTTTAAATGCATTATTGACAGGAAAAGTAATAAAAGAGACATCATAGCTCTTAATGGAAAGAAGAAATCGAACAAATGAAACACTGTACCATTGGGTATATCTTTTAAATGCATACCACTACCCTGCAAAGCGAAAGAAATATAGTAAACAAAATAAGTTTCAATATAATAACGCACAATTAGGGCTTTACTATGAATCTGGAATGATTGAATGAATACCTCATCGATGAAAAATTCTTTGGATATATCTCTCTCATATGATTCTACCAACCTCTCAACTGATTTCCTATCACGTACAGGACGATTGGTTGCACTTGCACTTGCAGGAGTCCTTGCCTCTGTCTCTTTCACCTGCTTCTCATGGATGTTTCGTCTCCTGCGCCTTTTTAATCCTTTCTCAATTCCCATGTCTTCAGAATCGTCTTCATTTGACTTATAGTCAACCTTATCATTAGCATCCTCCTCCTCTTCTTGACTTTCCATCTTTTCACTGATTTCATCTTTGTCTTCAGGGATCCCCTTCTGTTCCTTTACTTTCTTTTTCACCTTCTCCATATTGCCCTTTCCTCTCCCACGCTTCTTCGATGCTTTCTCAACTATAATATCTTCTTCAGTTGACTTATCGCCAACCTTAACCTTATCATTCTCCTCCTTTTCTTGACTTTTTTCCTTTTTACCACTCTCACCTTTGTATTCAGGGACATCCTCAACCTTTTCTTGACCTTTTTCCTTTTTACCACTCTCACCTTTGTATTCAGGGACATCCTCAACCTTTTCTTGACCTTTATCCTTTTCACCGGTCTCATGTTTGTCTTCAGGGACATCCTCTTTTTCCATGACATCTAATGCTAGTTTCTTAGCTTCAATGCTTTCTTTTCCTTCTTTACTATCCATAGTTTCCTTAACATCGGTTTCTTCCCCCAATTTGTCATCCTCAAACTCATTATCATCTTTCTTATTTATTTTTGTTTCATTCACAAAATCATCTTTCTCATCATCTTCTGATTCTTTCAAGCCAACATCTTTTTTATCATCTTTTATTTCCTCCCCAGCATTAAGCCCCTTTTCCTCTTTTAATTCTTCCCCTTCATCGGCTTTCTTATCCTCTTTTAATTGCCCCCCTTCATCAACTTTCTTATCCTCCTTAAAGTCTTCCCTTTCATTTACTTTCTTATCGTCTTTTAATTCTTCCTCTTCATTGACTTTCTTATCATCTTTTATTTCTTCCGCTTCGTTGACTTTCTTATCCTCTTTTAAATTTTCCCCTTCGACTTTCTCATCCTCTTTTATTTCCTCCCCATCACCAACTTTGTTATCATCAATTACAACATCACAGTCATCAGCTTTCTTATCCTCTTCCACTTCTAGTTCTTCCTCCCCATCAGCTTTCTTATCAACTTCCATTTTTTTTATATCATCCCCCTTCAAGTCTTTGACTTCATTATCAGCTTTCTTATCAACTTCCATTTCTTTTATATCATCCTCCTTCAAGTCTTTGACTTCATTATCAGCTTTCTTATCAACTTCCATTTCTTTTATATCATCCCCCTCCACGTCTTCGACTTCATTATCCTCCAAGGTTTTCCCTCCTTCAGATTCCAAGCCCTTCTTATCACCCATGTCATCTAAAGTTTTCTCTGGTGTGATATTGCCATTTGAGTCAGTTCTGGAAACTGTATTAACTGATTCTTCCTCACCCATACGGATCCGATCTTATCTATACCAAATCTATATACTACTACTCCTGCAAACTCTTTCCACTTCAGTGGTTTCTTTGAAATCTAACAATTTGTGCCTGTCAATGCAACCCAAAACCATAAGAAAACTCTAGTTTAAGAACATTATCAACATGCAACAACAAAAATGGACCACGATTCCGGTAAGCTTCAAGAAGATATTAGTATGTAAAACCATAGAATGCACAATATCCATACAAATTATTCTTTTTCCTAAAACAGAAGATTGTTTCAAACAGGTCAACTAAATGAAAATTTTCAACTGCTATCCCAACTGAAAAAACCAAATATATCCATTGGCATGACAAGTTGCCAAAAAAATTACAATAAAAGCTTGAAAATAGACCCAATCACTTAACAAATGCAATCTACAAACAATAATGATAGAAATAGGTAAAGAGAGAGAATGAAAAGAAACTCTCATTGGATTATTTTAATAAACAGTAATACAAGAGGCTACTTTATATAGCCATGTTATACAAAGCAGAAAAGGTGTGAGGCCATAACAAGCTAACAGCACACCACTAACAAACCTGACAGCTCAGCAAAACAGAATAGAAAGATAAAATGAAGGGCATATTAGTAAACTACTCTATTAGTCCCCCTTAGAAGCTGATGGCAGACTTGTCAAAGCAGCCTTATCATACACACGCAACTTGGAACGAAGAGGAACAAACTTGGCAGCAGAGAGGGGCTTAGTGAGAATGTCAGCCCATTGATCTTGAGCTGGTACATGAACAACAGTCAGACTTTTGCTGAGTACTTTCTCTCGCAGAAAGAAAATATCAAGCTCCATATGCTTAGTCCTGTTGTGAAGAATAGGATTGTGAGCCAAAGTAACAGTGCTCAAGTTATCACACAAGATCTTAGGAACTTGAGAGGAATAATGGAGTTCCTTGAGCAAGGACTGAATCCAAATGAGTTCAGCAGCTAGCTGAGCCATACTGCGATATTCCGCTTCAGCACTGGACCTTGCAACAAGCTGTTGCTTCTTGGACCACCAGGAAACAACATTAGGCCCAAGATATATGCAGGCCCCTGAAGTAGATCTCCGGTCATCAGGGTCTGATGCCCAGTCTGCATCACAGAACCCTAGCAACTGCATTGGTTGCTGAATAGGAGCAGGCTGAAGGAGAAGACCATGGTGCAGAGTACCACTTAGGTACCTTAAGATTCTTTTAACAGCCTTCCAATGATCCTCTAAAGGATTTGACAAAAACTGACAGACTTTGTTGACTGAAAAAGAGATCTCTGGCCTAGTTAAGGTAGCATATTGAAGGGCACCAACCACAGACCGAAACTGAGTAGGGTCATCAACCGCAGCAGACCCAACCTTGGACAATTTGCTGCTAGAGACCATGGGAGTAGGCATGCCATTGGCATTCAACATATTAAGCCTTGAAAGCAAATCTGTGATGTACTTAGTCTGAGATAAGAGAAGAGAACCATTAGGGAGATGAGTCACTTGAATCCCTAGGAAATAATCAAGTTGTCCCAGCTGTTTGAGAGAGAAAGAATTATTGAGATGCTTGATCAAGGAAGCTATAAAAGGAGCAGAACTACCCGTGATGATTATATCATCAACATAGACCAGAATTAGAATCTGAAGTTTACCTTGATGCAACAAAAACAAGCTAGGATCACATCTACTAGCCTTAAACCCGAGTTGAACCAAGGCACACTTTAGCTTATCAAACCAGGCCCTAGGAGCCTGTTTTAAACCATAAATAGCCTTATTTAACTTGCAAACAAGAGTTCTGTCAGCAACTTCAAAGCCAGGGGGCTGTTGCATAAGGACTTCTTCTTCAAGAGTGCCATTGAGGAAGGCATTGTTAACATCAATCTGCTGCAATGGCCACCTGTTTGTAACAGCAATAGAAAGAACAATTCTCACAGTAACAGGTTTAATGACAGGAGAAAAAGTCTCTTGAAAATCATCACCAGCCTTTTGATGGAACCCTTTAGCCACTAATCTGGCTTTATACCTGTTTATGGAACCATCAGGATTCTCCTTAGTCCTGAACACCCACTTACATCCAATAGGCTTCCTTCCAGCAGGAGCTTTCACCAAAGTCCAGGTCTGATTTCTCAGCAGTGCCTGATGTTCTTCCTTCATGGCCTGAAACCAGTTAGGAGCAGCCAAGGCTTGCTCAACAGATGTAGGTTCAAGGTGGGCTATTAATAGAGTAGGGTGAAGTCTAGGAAGAGTGATTCCTCTTTTGGCTCTAGTTTGCATAGGGTGGATGTTTTGAGGGTGAATGGAAGGTAAAGCTGTGGCAGCAGGGTGGGAAATAGGACTAGGGCCAGGGGAGGGACCAACTAAAGGAGAGGAATATGAAGAGGAGGGAGAAAGAGTGCTAGCTTCAGCTGGATCAGAGAGAATGAGGGCAGGAGAGGAAGAAGGAGAAGAGGTAATGGGAATGGCAGTGAGAGGTTGAGGGATAGGTTGCTGACCAGAAGAATAAGAGTTGTTAGAGGGAGCAGCAGAGGAAGAGGAAGAAGAGATTGGAGAAAAATTAGAAATAGTGGGACTGCTAAGTTGAGGAAAAGCAGAATTTGAGGAAGAAGAAGGCATAGAAGACAGATTAGAAGTAGAGGGAGCAGAGGGAACAGGAGGAAAACTGAGAGAGGGAGAGGAAGAGGATGGAGTGTTAGGAAGAGAGACAGATTTTGAAGAAGAAACCAAGGTGGAATAAGGAAAATTTGCTTCATTAAAAACAACATCCTTGGAAATAAAAATGCGACCATCTGAAGCAAGGCATTTATAGCCTTTGTGAGAGGTAGAGTATCCAAGGAAAATACACAGTTGAGATCTAAAATCAAGTTTATGAGAATTATAGGGACGGAGAAAAGGATAACATGCACAGCCAAAGACTTTAAGGATAGTATAGTCAGGGTTTTTGTGAAGTAATTTAAAATAAGGTGAGACATTGTCAAGTATAGGTGTAGGAAGTCTGTTAATGAGATATGCAGCTGTGACAAAGGCATGATCCCAGAATTTTAAGGGAAGGGTGGACTGAGCAAGGAGTGTGAGACCAGTCTCAACAATGTGCCTGTGCTTACGTTCAACAAGGCCATTTTGGTGATGTGTATGGGGACAAGTGAATCTGTGAACAATCCCTAAATCTGTGAGATATTTGGTAAGAGGCCTAAACTCACCTCCCCCATCAGTTTGGATACATTTAATGGGACAATTGAACTGAAGTTCAACCATTTTCTTAAACTGAAGAAATTGAACCATGGTGTCAGACTTAAGTTTGAGAGGAAAAACCCAAACAAACCTAGAGAAGGCATCAATACAGGTTAGGAAATAGGTATAACCACTGGAAGATTGCATAGGGGCAGGACCCCAAAGATCACATACAACCAGCTCAAAAGGATGAGAGTAAACTGTGGTAGATAAAGAAGAAGGAAGTCTATGAGACTTGCCAATGCAGCAAGCGTGACATAACTCAGCAGGGGGTTTAGATGGAAAGGATTGATTACACAGTTTGAAGATTTCAGTGAGGGTATGATGATTGGGGTGTCCCAGCCTAGTATGCCAAAGCACATATTTATTGGATGCAATAGAATTTGCAGCATTAAAGTGTGAGGAAGGTAAAACAGTACTGACAGAGTTTAGAGAAGGATTGAAAAAGGTACTTGTAACATTATAATTGCAAGATTCATTACAAGAAGACAAAGGATTTATAGTATGATTTGCAACAGATTCAGTACACTGAGATATAGAATCTATAACATCCGTCCTATAGGAAGTATTACAATTGTATGCTGCAGGATAACTATGACTAGAACTATAAGAGGAAGAAGATTTGGACAACGGAGGAGCAGCTGGATTGGAGAATTTATAGAGGCCATCAGCACCAACAAGACCACTGAGTAAGACTTCAGAAGTAGCCTGAGATTTGACAACACAAAACTTAGGATGAAATTCAAAAAATACAGAATTATCTTGAGCAAATTTGCTCACACTCATAAGGTTTTTGGTGATGTGAGGGACATGTAAGAGATTGTTAAGAGTGAGAGATAGATGAGGTTTGTGAGGTAAGGGAAAAGACATAGAACCTACAGAGTTGATGGACAAACCTTGGCCGTTACCTATGAAAACTTGTTCAGTTCCAGGCACGGAGGCAGAGTCAGACACATTAGAGGCATCAGGAGTAACATGATGAGAAGCTCCTGAGTCAGGATACCACCACTGGTTTGCACTGCTAGCTTCAGTACCTGCATAAAAGGCTTGTGGTGCAGAAGATCTGGGAGGCGCAGCTCTGGGAGAAGCATAAGCAAGCTGCACAGGATAAACAGCACGAGGAGCCACGTGAAAAGGATTGAAGGGAGCTCGATGATGTGGATAACTAGCACCACTTGAATTGGCATAACGATAGTAGCATACTGAAGCATCATGACCAGGTTTGTGACAAATCTGACACGGTGATTTCCCAAAACGACCTCCTCCACGACCAAAACGACCACCACCGCGACCAGAACGACCACCACGTGCACCATAGGAATGATTTTCAGCATTAGCGGTGACGTGACTCGTTCCTTGAGGAAACGCCTCGGAGATGACTTGATCAGAAGCGACTGGAGTGGGAGAAGGTGTTGCTTGAGTGAGATTGATCGTCGCCGTCGCCGGTTCTGTAATCGCAGCTTTGCGATGCTTCTCCAATCGCGACTCATGAGCAAGCAAGGAAGACTCCAACTCTTCCAAGGAGCTAACGTCATCTTTGCTGTTAACGGCGGCGACAATAGAATCATAATCCTCAGGTAACGAATCAAGAACAATCTCAATTAGGTTACGAAGAGGAACGGGATCACCGATGGAGGTTAGCGACTCACTGATGTCACGTGAACGCGTCATAAGCTCAGTAATCGTTAGTGAACCCTTCGTAAGACGCCGGAGTTCTGAACGAAGTTGACGAGCCTTGGTGGAGAGAAGAACATCAAAGTACCGATGAACTTCTG